ACAAAATATTTTTTGAACCTATCATTCAAATCTGGTACCCATTTCATGACAATTATTATTTTTTTTGAAAGTATGACCTCTTCTTCGCTGTTATGTTGCATGTAGATATTTTATATTGCTACTTCTCTCTGTAAATAGTGGTAAATAAATACATGATGCCACCCCCATTACTAAGAAGAAATGGTCTGAAAATAAACAAACTATTAGATAAAAAGAGAGGCCAGATTCCTTGGTGAATAAAAGATCTGAAGAAAAAAAGAGAGAGAAGTTTTTAATCTGTAGAAGCTGAAATAAAACAGATTGGTGCTTTGGGGTAGTTAAAAGAGAAGAGTTCAGTGAAAGATGCAAGGGACCAGATAGAGGATTCTAAGAAGAGAAATGAGGATTGTTCAAGAATAGAAACAAACTGAAACGGATGTAAAAAATAGAGATTTATGATAGATTCTACTGCAGGAAACTGAACTTCACTAACGTAAATTCCGGAATTGAAAAAAATTTGGGAACAGGTATCTTTCACATTGGGTTCTTTCTCTGTACTTGCACACAACTATTTTTATTTCCTAAATATCTCATAGATTCATCTACTTGTCTTACCTTCCACCTCTATCACCTCCGCACAAAATACCATCTTCATTGACTTGGATAATCAGAGCAGCTTCGTATGTGGTCTCCTTGCTTCCTCTCTGGCCATTTTCCAACCTGGCTTCACTTCCACTACCAAAGTATGGTTTAAAAGATACAAATTTGGTCTACCTATTAACTGTATTAAGGGGATCCCACTGCTCTTGGTAGAAGGATGAAGCTTCTCATTGTGGACCCCGTGATCTGACCCTCATCTAGTTTTCCAACCTCATCTTGTCCCACTGTCCCCCTTGATTTATCCTCTAGCTGCTTAAATGCAGCCTTCCTTCTGCCACAGAGCTCTTTGGCTTCTGTACCCCCTCTCTCTGCCTGTCTTCCCACCCTTCAGACCTCAGCTCAGTGGACATCCTCAGGAACTTTCTGACCCCTCTAATGCTAGACCATGTCCATCTGCTGTGCATTTCATAGTTCTCTGCAATTTCTTTCGAAAAACTTACTGTTTATAATTAGATATTTATGTGATTATTTGTTCAAAATTGTCTTGCACCCTGGATTTTAATTTCCCTGTAATCAAGGGCCATGTTTTTTTCACTTGTCCTTTTGTCAGTGGTGTCCAGCAGATCACACTATGGTCAGTAACACCCAACTGATGTTGTTGAGTCACTAGATGAATGTAGATAGTTGATGTTTTTTGTTTGTTTTTACTAAAAATAGTGCACTGGGAATACAAGGCTGTGAGTGGTTGCAGTTATAACAACCTCCTATGAAGGAAGAGTTCAATGAAATATGTGCTCAAGTGGCTTTGGGGGCAGGAGCACTTGTTTCCTGAAGCCACAGCCACAACAAGAGCCACAAGCTCTGAAGCAGGGTCAGCCCTGGCAGTGATGCTTCAGCACCACTGCGGGAGGCTTCTCTGGATAAGGTTTTCCTTTCTGTTCCCAAAGAATTTTCTTCTCAAAAGAAGCACTGTGGGCAGCTCTTCCTGCCCGCTTGTGTCTATGCAAGTGTACTGTACTTTTCTGTCCCTTTCCCCAATAAACCTGCTCTTTAAATACAAAAAAAAAAAAAAAAGGAAGAAGCAGCAGCACTGTGACCAGTGTTTATATCCACTGTGTACTTTATCCCTCCTAACTAGTAGTAATGTAGAAGAAAGTAATGTAGAAAGTGAATAGACATTAATTTTCGTATGTATAAAGATTGCCCGGAAAGAATGTCTTGGATTTTACAAAATTCCTGGCACTGACATTGTGTGCATTTTTCTCTACTTATTATTTTTTAAAGATTTATTTATTTATGCATGCAAGAACTGGGGTGTAAGCCAGAAGTGCAGGAGGTAAGAGGATTCACCAGAGACAGAGTGGGGAGCAGAACAGGCAGAGTGACTGAAGTACACTGCTGAGGGGAACGGCAGGCGAGGCAGGAGAGGTCTGCCACGCCATGTAGGTTGCTCCCTGGCTGGCCAGGGATTGAACTTGGGGGATTGAACTGGTGTTGTAGAGGCTGGCAATAGCTTGATAGCACTGTCTTTAACCCCTGCACCACCAGGGAGGCCCCTCTCTACTTATTTTTAATGTGCTGCTTTTGTCATTCTACCACTCATTGTCACTGTTCAACGTTTTGCTTTTAAATCTCTCACATTATAACAAAATAGCTAATTCAACAATTCATTAGGTTTGTGATTTAGCTACATGAGCCACACTCCTAGTTTTATTGACTTTATTCGATTTGAATTTTTAGTAGATAGATATTTATTGCAAACAACTACTGAAGCTTATAAGCTTACAATTTCTCACTAATGCTGAGATTTCATTAGATTCAAACCAAGGAATCTGGAGATTTTTCCCCATTTCTTTTTTTCTTTTTTTCCCCCAAGATTTATTTTATCTGTGCATGCAAGAACTTGGGGGTAGCCAGAGGTGTGGGTGGGAGTGGTGGTGAGAGGATTCACCAGAGACAGAGTGGGGAGCAGGACAGGCAGATCTACTGAAACACACTGCTGGGGGGAGCAGCAGGTGAGACAGGAGAGGTCTCCTGTGCCATGTGGGTTTCTCCCTGGCCGGGGATTGAACTCATGTTGCAGTGGTTGGCGATAGCTCGCTAATGCTGAGACTTTAACAACTGGGCCACCGGGGAGGCCCCTTTTTCCTATTTCTTAATGAAACAATAGCTATTTTCACCTTTAAAGGTTTCAATAATTCTCTATGTGCTACCAGATAAAGTCTAAACTCTTCGCTGTGGTGTTCAAGGTACTTCACAGCCTGTTCCTCTCCTAATCCTCCGCTTTCTTCTTATGACTTTTCCCCTTTTCCCCATCCACCTCCTTTCCATTTTCAGAGTCTGAATTAATCATCTATTCTAGGAGCACTTTGAAATACAGGTATAGCTTCTATACTGAGGTCAAATTAGAAGTGACTTAAGTAATGGAGGAAATTACTTCTCTTTCATGCAACAGTAAAATGTAAGCAATATGGGCTCTTGGGATCTTTCTGTCTCTGTTCTCCTGAATGCATAGCTTCTTTTTCAGTGTAAATGGCTGCTCCTGCTTTCAGCAGTCTATCCACATTCAGGACAGTAAGAAAGGTAAAAAGAAAAAGGAAGCATGTTCTACTCCCTCTTAGGATATAGCTGAGATGTTGGCACATGTCATTTCCACTCCTACCCTGTTGAACCGAATCCAGTCCTATGTCCATACCAAGTATCGAGAGAGGCTGGCATATTTTTCTTAGTCCAGTAATATAGAACATTTGTATTTGTGTTCCCATAAATGAAGCAAAGGATGAATAATGAGGGGACAACTATAAATTGTACCTACTATACATTCATTACTGTGCTAAGTGCTGAGGATATAGAAATAAACAAGGATTGGATCTGGGGGTGAACGCAGTTTAGTTTGGGCAACTATGGGTAGATCCCTACTGTTTGAATGTATCATGTATATTTTCTCTATATATACAGTATTTATAACCCATATAAACAAAAATTTATGCATAATCTCCTGGGTTTTTGCATTTGCTTCCCCACTACATGGAACTGTTTCTTACTCCTGTTTTCCACTGGATGCAATTCTACCCATTCTACAAAGGCAAACCCAAGAAAGCTCTAGTGTTCCTTCCGGGGAGTGGTAGCAGTTGTGTCCTTGCTATTCCCATAACACTCAAATGCCATGTTCTTTTTCCTGCATTTTGTCATAAGTGCCTGGAAGCATGTACAGACCCAGCAAAGCGCCAGCCAAATAGAAAGTGCTTTATAAATGTTTGCTGAATCAAATTAGTCGGTGCTTGACATGCTTTCGTGGATTCTGGAATGGTGAGGTGGGTGGAATCACTAATGCATTGGGAAGATCACTCATATTGTGTATAAAAATATCAGAGTCGATGAAAAGTTAAGCGAGTTCCATTTCAAATTCAGAATCCAGTGTTTTTAATCTCATTCTAACTTTGAGTTAATTTTTATTCTTTATTCAGTTATTCTAGTAACAATGTTGATGAAGGGTCCTTAAGAAAGGCTGGAAGTTGAATTCTTTCTGTTCTTTTATTATTACCACATTTCTCACTGAAATTTCTTTAAGAAACCCAGTTGAAATCCCATCTACTACAACTATAGGTTGCATAGTCCAGCAGAGTGGAGTTTTTCCTAGGGCTTATTTCAAAAGCTAATTTGTATTGTAATTCAGGTATTTTATTTAAGTTTGTGATGTAATCACAAAAGTAACCTTATTGTTTATCTGTAATCTAGCCACTATTTCCCTTTTGGACCTTCAAATACATGGAGGATTAATTGGTATATAGTAAAGGTAAAACCATAGAATTTTCATAGACTCTTTAATATTCAGATTATAACAGAGAAAGGGAGAGATCAACAGGAGGGGCCTCAGTAGGCTATGGTGGAGGATTGCTGGTGCCTCGTGATGATCCTGAGGCCGTGTGACCCTACACCTCCAAGTCACATACAGAGTTGTAAACCAATGTTATCGCACCAAAAATAAGTAAATAAGTTAATTGATTAAATAATGAAAGATACAATCATGCCATTTGTGACAACATGGATAGAACTGGAGAGGATTATACTAAGTGAAGTAAATCAGAAGGATGATTTCACTCATCTGTGGAATATAAAGAGCAAAGGATCAGGCAAAACCAAAACAAAGCAAACCCTTGAAATCTGACTACAGACCTGAGCCTGCAAGAAGGGGGATTTGGGGAATAGGGAGGTGGGGGAGGGAGTCCTGTAGACTGTGGGAATGTTGGTGCTTTGGTGGTGGGTGTGGTGGAATAACATATATTTGAAGAGGTGTGAACCTATACCCCTAAAACATACAGTGGTATAAACCAATGCTACCTCAATAAATATAACTGTAAAAAATCAACAACAAATATATTTTCATGCAAAAAGTTGAAAGAATTGGAAAAAAACACAAATTATTATGTTTTTAGCAATATTATTGCTTATGTTATTTATAAACCAAACACTTGATGATTTGGAGCCACAGTTACTTTAATTGGTCAAATGAGAAGACTGACTAGGGTGGGAGATTTTTTCCATCCTGATAACCTCTTAGAGACTATGAATAATAATAATAATATCAAATCGTTACTGTAAATACTAAGTTTTAAGGAGATACTGGTATAGTGTTGCAAATTAATAGTATCACACTTTTCATGATTGTAAAGCACATACTGGTAGGTGAACTTTACCTGTTACATGAAATAATTAACATGTCTTCTCAAGTGACAGCAGTCTGTGAAGGGATTGCACATGGGGGCAAATGTGGATTAACAGCAGTTCCACACTGAAAGGCTGTATGAATCACTGCTTATTAAAATGGTTGATATCATACAAATTATTAATTTTATCCCCAAATGCCTAATAATTCGTCTTTTCGGTGACATGTGTGACATGTACAAGGTCTTTAGGAAGATCATTCTGATGATCTCTGCCAACTGTGACTTTAAAGAAGGATATAAACTATAGCCCTCCAGGAGTATTCATTTGTAAGAGCTCATGCTTGGAAGGTAGTCTTATTTAGTTTCTTATATGTAAATCATAGGCGATATATTATCTGATTAATTAATTAGTTCTAACACTGGTAAGATTTGCTAGTCAGAATTATGTTTATCTGATGTGCTGTAACGTAGAAAATGAGTATTGGCAAGCAAGCAAGAAAAATAAAACAAAACAAACAAAAACAACTGTGTAGCTGCAGTGGTTGAATGAGTCGGGTCCCGAGGCCACGCCAACAATCCTTTCTACAATTCATGTGAAACACGTAGTGCAAGACAAAGCGTCTGCAATTTGGAAGGTGGTTCTATAGTCCTAGGAACCCAGAGTGAATTAAAGTCTAGACTCCGTAATTTGTCAGGGGGAAGGGAGGAGAGAGAAATTGCAGATCAGATATGCCCAAAGTGTTTCAGAGGTAACACCGAAGCAGGGATGCTGCTGCCAGTCTGTGTGGTGAGGGAGGCAGGAATGGCAGAGCCGCTGCTGAAGCAGCACCGTTCTCAGAAGCAGTAACACAAACAGCATCAGGAGTAGGCCTCCTCTTGTAAAAAGCAGGCTACTGCAGGCTTGTGAAAGGCAAGATGCTCTGATGTTTGAAAATCTCCGAGCGGAGAATGGCTGCTGTAAAAATGTTGCCAAGAAACTCTAAAGATCCGGACAGTCATAACTCTTTGTTAGCAATAGTTCTTTCAGCAAAATAAATGATACTTTTTGTCAATCTCTGGGCAGTAGACAACTCCCTGAAGAAGAAGATATCGGATTACCTGAAAAAAGAAAAACAGGGAGAACAAAGTTTGGGCATGCCTGCAGGAACAATGGTGTTTTTAGAAACTACCTAGGAGGCAGAAGCTAAGTGTTGATTTGCCCATGCCTCTTACCTGGGAGTAGAAGGTGGGAAGAAATGGACAGTGGCTCTGATGAGAAGAGGAGGCACAGTGCAGCTCGGTGAAGCCACACGCTGACTGCGTCCTGCACCGCTCTTCATGCAGTGCTGTGGGCTGGTGCATCGGCGGCGAGTACGGGTGTCCTATGTAAGTTTCTATTGCTATAGAATTGGAGCGAGGGGCTGGAAATACTGTTTGTGTCTGTCTGGTGTGTGTTGCTTCTTTCAGATGTGTTTCATCCCAGTGCTCAGGATCAGCCAGACAATCGATCATTTGTACAAGGAGTTTTCGAGGCACCTGAGGCATATGAGATGCTGAGGTTCTCCAGAGATGTTTTTATGTATTTTTAGTGTCATGTTACTTTGATAAGGTCAGAAATAACTTGCATAGGGATTGTTTGGGAAGTCCATTGTCTCAGACATCTGTATCAGTTCAAACCAGTTGCTATTTCTTTTACCTAAGATAGTTCTTTTTTCATATTTGAATGAAGGCATAAAAAAAAATCTTTTTTAGAGAGAAATACTGTGGGGTTTGTCAAATTAAAGATAACCACAGCAGCTAACATGAAATCCTATTTTAGACAGCTTCAGAAAATAGTAGCTGATAATCGTTTGATGGATGACACAGCTGTTGCAATAATGCCAGCATTTACAGCAGCTTTATCATTCTGTGACTATTTCACTGAAATAGCCTTTATTTCATGGACCTGCTGTGTTTTGCAAAATGGCTGTCTGAGTATTAAATTCTATAAGGCAGGCTTACACAAACACTGAAGTATCACTACTTCAAATGATTGAATGCTAATTGAAATATGCTGTGCAGTACGCTAGCTGGCAAGCACTGAGGAAACACTTGCTTTCTTTTCATGCTCCTTTTTTTTTGCATGAGGCCACTTTATTTTCAGTGAAAGGGAGCAAGAGGTTTATGCAGGCTTGTCAAACTGCAGTGCTGAATTGTTTAACTGGTTTGAGATTCCTGGCTACAAAACAAATAGAAAATCTACAACGAGAGCCAATCAATGCTTAAGGGTATAATAGAAAGAAATCTGTGACCTTGGAAAATCGGCCTGCTAGAAGAGATATATGTGACATTTCCAGGACAAACAAGGTCAAAATTTGATATGATCTAATAATAAAGTTGGAGACCAGAGGTAGAGGGGTGGGGAAAAGACATCTGTTCTTATCAAATCTTAAAGATAATATTCAATTCTATTAAGTATGTAATAGCATAAAAAGCCTCTTTAATTTAAAGGTTTTTGTGATTGTTTTATTTTTGGTGCCATTAGTCTTTTGAATGCAACAGTTGACAGGTACGGACTTTAGTAGAGAGGGAGCCAGCCAAGATTTTTAAAGACGACATCTGCAGGGATAAATTTTTTTTCTCCAAAAGAAAACTTTACTTGCTTTTTAATATTTGGAAATGTCTTACAGAATTTTTAGAGTACAATTATCCACATAAAGAAAATTTTAAATTAAAAGTAAAAATAATTTGAAATTTTTAATCTGTATTTATATAATAATGAAGACTGACAATTCCATAGCTTTATGTATTTCTGTTTATTGTTATATAATGAATTAGGAGAAGTCTATGATTATGTAACCTTTTGAATACTGGCATTCTGAAATTAGGACTCAAACAAAGCCATAAATTTTGCCCTACTCATTTTTTGTCCTTTTCTTGAAATTGAGCATGTAAATTAATAGAAGAGAGAGCATAATCTTCTGTTTTGTTTTTGTTTTTTTTCCCTTGGAGTCTTGACTGAAAGTTTAGAACAATTGGTTCATCTGCTAATTCTCAAACTTTTTTATCCTTCATTTTACTTAAGGAACCCCGAAACATATAGCAAAAATATTTTTAAAGATAAAAGATATTCATATATCTTGGTCACTAGAAATAATTATTCCTTTAGAACATTCATCTCTTGGGAACTCTAATCTGTAACCCACCTGCTGCTGTTTTAACTCTTTTGTTTGACAGTTTAATGTCTGGATTGCAGTTTCCTTTATAGATCGCCAACCCAAAGCCAGAGGTAGGTTATGTCTGAGATATATTTCGTTTTCTTAGAGGAAAAAACATGGTATAGAGCTATCTGTCAGTGAGGGCTCTAATTTTCCTGCAAAACATATGACAAGTGGAACCTAGAAACTGCTCACTGAATATCCAGGTGTCCAGCAGGCAAAGGGCAGCCCAACCCTCTGGTAGTGTTAGTGATGGGGGCCTTGTCCATTTCATGTCCATTGAGTGAACTGTCTTCCTGTCCTTTCTCAAATCTCTTGTCAATTTTGGGGGGGTGGGCAGGGACTTGGATCATAGCAGTACTAACTAAATCCCAACTAAAGTTTAAGAATTTAAAAGAAAGTATATAAAATATATCTCCCTACTAGCTGTAATACATAAATCAATTGATATGTGTGTATCTCAATCCTCCGCTAGTTCTTATACCTTTATTTTTAGTATGACAGCTTTCTTAAGGATTCCTCCTACTCTAACATTGTCTCTAAGAAGCATTTTGAAAGTTATGTGGGTTTTGAATAAAGTTATATACATATGTCACTGTTCTTCATTTCTAGCTTCCCTCCCCCCACCCAGTTGTCAGAGCTTTTATTAGGCCCCCTCTTCTGATTTGTCCTATGTTACCTTTATATTCAAAGATTATTCTCTGATCAGTGGGCCTGCCTGGTAGGCTGTGACCCTTTCTTTCTTCTGCAAGACTCAATACATGAATCTCTCTTTTGACTTTATTATTCAAATACAACATCAAATCTTTATTATTTTGTTTCCACCTAACATTCTTTTAGAATCCAGCTTCATATCTCAGAAGTAATTCCTATTTTTATCTAAACTGTCTCGCTATTTTTATTTTATTAAATGACATGAAAATCTGTCAGCTGAATAAATACTCTTAAACGTAAAAGGATGTTTAAGAATAGTAATCTCTTTATGAATCTCTGTGAAACACTTCTAAAATATTGGATTTTGCATGAGAGAAGTTTCTTTGGGGAGCAGAGATATTAACTCTTTCTGGTAAACTTCACTGAGGGATTGTATACATGCAGAAAATGCAGACATTATAAGCATTGAGCTTGATAAAAGCTCACAAATAAAACAGGCCTCTGTAACCAACACAAAAACTAAGAAATCAAAACTTATCTCCCACTTACCAGTCTCTCCTCCTCTTCTAGGGTACCCACTAATTGGACTTCCAACATCACAGATTAGATTTTCCTGTCTGCAGAATTTATAGAAATAGACTCATACAACACATACTCTTTTTTGTGTCCAACTTATGTTGCTTATATTTATGAGATTTATCCATGTGGTGGTATGTAGTTGTAATCAACTAGCTTGCTTATTCTCTCTGCTGCCTAGTATTCCATTAGGTGACTTTCCATACTTTAGTTTTCCATCCTGTGATTGATAATCATTTGATTATCGTGGCTATGATAAACACTGCTGTTATAAACATGTGTGACATCTTATTTTGTGACTGTTTAGGTATTCCTTCTCTTGAATGTAAATCTAGGTCTGAAATTGCCACATAAATGCTATACACGCACACACACACATATCTTCAGCTTCAATTCTATTAAACAGCTTTTCAAACTGGTTTCATCAGTTTACACTCATAGCATTGTCTCTCCAAAACTTGGCATTATCTTGTACATTTCAGCCAGTCTGACGAATGTGAACAAGTATTCCATAATGATTTTACTTGGCATTTCTCTAAGGGGCTAAAGAAATCAAGCACCTTCTAATATAGTTATTGACAGTGTGGATATCCTCTTTCATGAAGTACTCATGCAAATCTCTTGCCTCTTTTTGCATTAGGTAATCTGTCTTTTGAGGCTTTTTTGTTGTTGTTGTTCAAGAAAAGACTGATAAGAAGAAATGTAACTAATGATTAGCATAATAAAATTATTAGAAACAAAATGATATATAGAGGCATAATTAAAATATGATTCACACTGGCCTGGGTTTGATTCTTGATGCTATCATTTATTTACTGTGATATGGAAATTTCTTTTTCTGAACCTAGTTTTCTCTAGATCTGTCTTGAAAAACAGACAAATAGGTTAGATCATAGAGGATGATCTGGTCTGTATATTACCTCTTTTTTATAAGAGCACATTTTTCTTGGCATACGATCATTTCTGAATTTTTATGGCATGTTAAATATTAAAAAATTACCAAATATTACTTTTGTATGTGAAGCCTAACTTCTGAACAAGTCAGTGCTCTAGTTAAATTCTGATTGTTATGGTTACCTGATGCAAATTCACCTAGTTTTTTCAGAGTTTATAATATACTTTCAGGCCCATTATTTCACTTGTTGTTAAAACAGACTTTAAAATTAGGCAAATCAAGTGATGAAATCACCATTTTATAGATTAGAAACCTTCAAATGAGAGAAATAATTATAGCCACAGACCAAAGTCTGGTAGTGGTCAAGCTGAAGTTCAAACTTAAATTTGTTCTTAGCCCTGTGTGCTGTTTTGTTCATTTTATTTGGAATGTATTCTCAAGTTTAAATAACAGGATTATATAATGAAATTTAACACTAAAATTTTGTAATGCTTCTGAGTATAAAAATCAATTATTAATGAACTTGAGAAGTGCTGAGGGGGGCAATTAATAGAGATTTTTGTTTAGCAGAATTATAGGTGACATACTTCTAGAATTATAATTTTTCTCTCACAATTTATAATTTTTCCAAATTATCAGAATTGTATTACTTACTAGTAAAACACATTTAAATTACACACTTTGTGTGTGTCTTGGAAAATACATTCCCATAGCAAAAGACTCTTAAAAGAGTTTTTGGTGTCATGAATTCTGTTCATCCACAGATAAAGGAGAAAAATCATATGCATCATGCTTTTAGTATTTATATTATCTATCTTAAATCATTTGGAGAGTTTCTAGATTTGTTTTAAGATGTCCTTAAGGTGATATTTGCTTTTTAAGACCTGCGTCTTTTTTTTTTTTTTTAAGATTTATTTATTTATTTATTTATTTATACAAGCACTGGGTACAGTCAGAGGCGCGGGAGGGTGAGAGAATTCACCAGAGCCAGAGCAGGGAGCAGAGCAGGCAGAAGGACCGAAGTACACTGCTGAGGGGAGCAGCGGGCCACAGGAGAGGTCTGC